CTCAATGGTGAAGAAACAAATATATATAATCTTCATTATAAATATAACTCAAAAAATTTCTTATGTTCTCATTGCTTAAAACGCCAGAATAATAAAATAACCAAACAACTATACACTAAGAGTATTGTTAATGAAGGTGCTGTTATAATAGATAACTATGAAGTTGGTCAATCTGTTTCTTGTGTTAAACAAGATTTAGTTGATAATATTGAATCGCAATTCCCAAAAGAAAAAACAAATAAAAAAGTTAAAGATAAATATTTAACACTTAAAGATTATGTTCAGACATACTTATATCTATCTATAGTTGAAAAGAAAGAAGATCGTAGAGTAGTTGAAGTTGAATTAAGACAAGAAAAACAAAATATTAAATTTGAAAAGCAAGGTACATGTACAGTTGTGGAGATTAACCTTTATAAAGCTATTGGAGGTCTTCACGTAGAAGACGAGGTGATCATTAGTTGTGGTGGGTTAAAAGGAATGATTAGTGACACAAATTCAATAGAAATAAAACTATTTCCATCTTTAATCTTTAAATCATCAAAATGTGTATTTGGAGGAAACATTACTTCAAGTAGAGGTAAAACAGTTACTGTTCAGTTAGATGATTTTCTTTTTGGAACAGAGTGTAGGGATGATGAGACAGGTCAAATTACTTGGAAATATCCAACAAATGAGAAAAAATGGAAATATGATGAAAAAATAGTGAAGAAAACATCATTATTTAGGATTTATTTTTTTACTAATGACAAAAGAAATCCATTTATTAAAACACTTGAAGTATTACAAGAAAGAGAAGTTGATGGGTATTATTCAAAGATACTGTGTTGTAACATGTTTCAAACCCTAAAAACAAATGATACAATAACTTATGATGAAATATTAACAGATAAATATAATATTCCTAATTTATCTAACTTAAATGATTACCAAATTAAGGCTATTTACAATGCTCTAAATGAAGATATCTCACTTGTAATAGGACCACCTGGAACTGGTAAAACTACAGTTGCTGTTTCAATTGCACAATATTTGATTTATAACAAACATAGATTTTATAATAGAAATAGAGCTGAAAGAAGACTATTAGTTTGTGCATCAAGTAATAATGCTGTTGATGTTATTTGTTCAAAACTTATTGAAAAAGGAATTCCAACAATTAGAATAGTTGCAGATGAACAATTTGAAAACTGTAGTGATAAGATACGAGAACATTCATTATTAAAAAAAGCAATAGAATTTACAGAAAAAAGAGGAATTAAAATGGTGTCAATAACAAGTTATGGTCAGATTATTATTAATGACCCAGTTTTAGAACAAAGACATCCATTAGAGAAACAAAGAAAAAATACAAAAACAGGTAATAGTTTAAATGATTTGGGTGATAAATTTGATAATGTTTCAGATGACGAATTAAAAACAGTTAATATACGAGAGTTACTAAAGAAAAAATATAGACAATATCTAACAGAGGATGAAAAGAGAAAAAAAGAAATTTATCATGAAACATATTTATCAGACCCAAGAAATGAGATGAATTATGGAACGTTTAAAAACTTTGTCAAACGAACTAATCCAGATTTACAAAAAGTTTTTGATAGAGTCAATCAAAAAATAGAGCCCAATGAGAATGAGTATATTAACAAATTCATCTCAGATTATTTTGGTGAGATATTAAATGGAATAGAATGTGTTTGTTCTACACTCACCATTTGTACTCGTTCAACATTATTAAAACAAAAATTTTTTGCATCTATTGTTGATGAAGCTGCTCAATCTCTTGAACCAGAAACATTGGCTGGAATTATTAATGTTAGAAAAGCAGTTTTAATTGGAGATATTCAACAATTACAACCAACATGTCTTTCAACTGAGGCTAGAGAAGCTGGATTCCAAAAATCAATGTTTGAACGATTTATGGCAAATACACAAATCAAAAGAACAATGTTAAAAACACAATACAGAATGCATCCAGCAATTGCAGAATTTTCAAATAAAATGTTTTATTCTTTTAAATTAGAGAATGGAGTGGATGGTGAAGATAGATTTGATGATAGAATTATTAATTTCTTCCCAGATTATACAAATCCTATAATGTTTATTAATTGTGATGGAAGAGAACAATACGGAAGTAGTGGAACAAGTTATAATAATGAAGGAGAAGTTCTAATAATAAAACAGATTGTTGATGGTTTATTGAAGAATAAGGTTAAAGAAAATGAAATAGGAATTATTTCACCATATCAGGCTCAACAAGAACTTATTTCTCAATGTGTTTCTACAAAAATTAAAGTTGCTAATATTGATGGATTTCAAGGAAATGAAAAAGAATATATTATTTTTTCTTGTGTTAGATCAAACCAAACTCTTGGAATTGGATTTGTGAATGATTATAAAAGATTAAATGTTGCATTAACAAGAGCTAAATGTGGACTAATAGTTATTGGTAATATTCAAACATTAATAGGATCTAAAGTTTGGAGTATGTTGGTTCATCACTTTTACTTGAGAGATGCTTTATTTGAATTGAAAGGACATGACTTTGTTCGATATAATGTTGAAGATAATGAAAAATTCAATTATCCATTAGAAGACTCTCCATTCCAAGTTCAATATGAAGTTGATGACTTTAAATTAAATGAAAAAACTCAAAAAATTAATCAACCCACTCAAGTCATCCCAGAAACTTTACTAAAACTCCAAAATCTTAAAATTAAAGCAACGACCAACAACAATGATAATCAAACATTTAAGGAAACAACTCCATGCACTGAAAGATCTAGTGAACAACAAAGTAATGAAGGGTGCTATGTGTTATAAATTTTAAATGTAAAGAATAACAACAATAATTTATTTAATAATAAAATTTATTTGTTTGACAAGATTTTATTTTTATTATAAATAATAATAAACATAACAAAAAAGAAATTTATTCATATAAATTATCGGTGATATTATTGTAATAATTATACTAATAAATCATCATTCATTATTATAATTGAAAATAGTTTATTAAGGATTTAATTTGATTAACAATCAAAAACAGAAGAATAATTATTTCATTTGAAGTACAATAAATCTGTTGACAACAAATTCTTTTGAAGAGAATGAACCAATAAAATTTCCTTTTCTAGTTTCAATACATTTTTGAATATCAAGAGAAACAGAACTAATTCCTTCAACAGGATTTTTTTGGATATTAATATACCTTCCTAATTGGAAGATAGTTTTATCATTATCATAAGATATCCTAAAAACATCCCTTTCTTGAACTCCTTTAAGGAATTTATATACCCAAAAGAACTGGTCTTCAGCAAAACAATAAAAGAAAGAATGAATATCACCATTCCAACCTTCTTTTTTAAATGGGTGATTAATATAACATCCAAATGGTTCATAATAAATAGGAAAAACAACAACCATTAATTTTTTTTGTCCTTCTAATTTTTGACCTAAATTGTATTTATCCCAACCATCAATATTTGAATCATATATCTGAGTCGAACTATTTGCACAAACCCTATTATATACTTTACTAATACATCGATAAATAAGGGTTTCATTCATTTCATTTGTTCTTTCAGTTTTTTGTTTTGACTTTCTTTCGTTTATTGGTTTGACTATAGGTTTTTTCTCTGTGGTGTAATTGTTTTGTTCTTTGGGAGAGTATTCACCATCACTTTCTATAAATGTTAATGGATTTCGTTGTGAGTCAATTGCTTTCATCTCTTCATAACATCTTTCTTGTACAATTCTCATTCTTCTTATTTCTTCATTTTGTTTTTGGATTTGACGAGTAGCCAATTCAGCCATTTCTTGGAATTGAATGATAAGTTGTTTTCTTTTACTAATCATAGCACTACAATTATCAGAGAGATTTTCTAATTCAGAGTATCTTAATTCTCGAAAATTATTACATTTTGTTCTTCTATCAAAATCATCAAAATCAGCTGAGACATATTCCCATAATTGTTTGTACCTTTCAAAACAATGGTCAATATCTTCTTTAATTCTTTTACCTACTGCTTTTGTTTTAAGTATTTGAAAGTCCATTAATTCGAAGATTAAATCTTTTTAAGTTCACTTTTCATGCTTTTCGTTTATGATTTAATTCTAATTAAAAATATGTATTAATTATTTTTAGAAACCCAAAAAAATAAAATAAAAAAATTATATAAAACACAATTTTAGTAAAGAAGGATTTTCACATCGTTCAGGAGATGATATAATTTTATTACAATTTGTTGGGATATCTTCAAAGAAAGAAACTGAAAGGCCATGGTCTAATATATCAGTGATTTCAGAGTCTTCTTCGTCTTCATATAGTTCTTCTAATCTTTCAATAAGACGGTCTACAGTAAGTTGTCCAAGAACAGGAACATGAGTAGAAGGTGAGTTAATTCTTCCTTGTGAAGATTTTTTAGGATGAACACGAAGTTCAATAAGAAAAGAGTCACTTAATCGTTGCATATTAGGATAAATAAATTGATATATAAGATGCGAGAGAAGAATAAATAGTGCAGTGATTATAGAAAACAAAACTACTTTCATTTTAATGCTAATATAACTCTGTTGAAAAGAAGCTTAAAATAGTGTTTTCTTTTATTACTAAAAAAAAAAGAATCTTTTAATTAACTTCTTCTCCTGCTATCAACTCTTTTCTTTTCTTTTCTATTTCATTGTTATGTTTTGCCCTATTAATGAATTAGAAGGTGCTATGAAAACGAAGAATACCCCCAATGAAAGATATTTTCTTTTTATTTATTTTTTCTCTAAATAGGTTAAATATACTCTTTTTCTTATTAAAAAAAAAAAGTTAAATTATTATAGAAATCCATTTCAATTTTATTAGAATTTTATTTGTATGATTTGAATTTAAAGTTAAAAATAAAATTTAACGAAAAGATTCATGCTTTTCTTTGTCAAGAAAATATTTTTTTTCCATTTTTATTATTTTGTTAGTTGTTGACAATTTGATATTACTTTTACTTCTTAATGCTTCAATTGAATCCTTCTTCGTTTTTTTTTTCTTATAACTACCAAATGATTCTTTCTTCTCGTTTTTATGTTAAGTTTAAATATCTTATTTTAATGTATCAACGAGTTGTTGTTGGTTCTACTTCTAGCAACAAAACATTTAGAAGATTTAATTGCAGAAGAAATTAAAAGAAATTTAGATATAGAATTTACTTTTTTATTAACTTTTTTTTAGCAATAATAAAGAAAATACTTATTTAAAACTCAATAATGGATTTAGTTAATCTATTTATTCATATTTTGAATTGAAAATTCAATAAATTTGTTATTACTACTAATGATATTAATTTGTTTGTTACTTGGTTTTAATTTGTATTAAGTAATAATTGTTTTATTTATAAAAAAAAACATTATCAGTTATATCCTTTATTTCTAAATTAAAAAAACAATCATTTTTAGTTCATAACTATATTTTTAATTATTCTTTTAATTTATAGGATAATAAAAATCTGTTTTGATTGTTTTATATCTAAATGTTTATTCTATTAAACTTGTCAAATGGTTAATTTATATTATTAATCTATAACTTGTTTATTAATTTCATTACAGAAATAGATTCAAGATTATCTGTTAAATGTATTCAAACAATATACTATTTGATTATAAGGCACTTTTGTTTGAGAATAGACAATTCTTTTATTTTATCTAATATAATAATTTTATTTGAAAGATATTTATTCTTAAAAATAAACTCTTTATTTATACTTTAATCTATAATAAATAATATTTTTAATAAACTATTTAAATCATTATATACAAAATATATTTATAAGCTTCATAGAGTACAATAAATCTAATCATTAATTTAAAAAAAACGCTGTATTTTTGATAACACAACAATATTTCTTTTTAAGTAATTAAATAAAACATAACTTTTTTAGATTACTTTATGAATCATTTTCTGTTAAAAAAACAGTAATTACTACAAAATTTTATTGAACATTTTATTGTTTTTATTATATTATATTAAATGTATCAGAAAACTAATAAATAAAAAGATAATAATCTTTTGATATTACAGTTAAACATAAATGCCACTCTAAATATATAATAACAAATCAGAAAAGAATCAAAATTAGTATAATCAATAGTATTAAAGAACCAGAGTCAAACATAATTTTGGAGCAATGAAAACCTTATTTTGATTCACTAAGACATCCAAATAAAAGTCATCAAGTTTTTCTATGTTTTGGAATAGAGGAAATGTTATCATATAGTGTATTACTATACTTTTGTTCAAGAGTTTGAATTAAGTCATCTAAATATGGATTAATTATTATTGAAGAATTACTGTGAGCATGTAAATTATATTTGATTATTACTAATACTGACCTGTTAGAATAAGTAAAAAAGTTGGATTATTCAACTTAAAAAAGTGGTTTCATATCAATATTCAAGAACTCTTATTAGTATTTATTTTTTTAGTAAAAACTTCTAATTATATACAAAAAATACTTTGAAAGTAACTCCAAACATTTTAAAGACTCTTCGGTACTTTGTTTCCTCTAATTAATACTTCCCAGAAATCAAATTTACTGTTTTCAAGCAATAACTAAATATCAATGTTATGGTTAAGAAAAATTGTTTTTAAAAAATGTGATATAAAACTATATTAATTATAAAAATGAAAAATAAAAAAGAACTTAAAAAAAACTAACCAAAAAAAGAGAAAAGAGAAATGAAAGTATATGACGATGAAGATAATATTGGAGTCCTTGAACAAACTATCTTTCCTGATAAAGGAGTCCTTTACCAACAACGTATTGTTTGTGCTGAACAAAAAATTAATCTTGTCCAATGTCGATTGTTCCTTACTAAATTAATTGCTGTCTTTAACAGAGGAGACACATTTACTCAAGAAGAAGCAACTGAATTATTCTTTGCAACAACAAAATTATTTTATTCACCAAATGTACCATTAAGGCAATTATTATTTACTGCTTTAAGATCAGTGATTCCGTATGCGTGTGATGTTTTTGTTGTAATGAATTCATTAAGTAAGGATGCTACTTCAACTTATGACTTCCAACGGTCTTCTGCTTTAAGAACACTTGGAATGATTTTAACTGATCAAACTATTAATTCTTTAGAACGTCATTACAAACAAGGAATTGTAGATAAAACACCAAATGTTTCAGTTAGTGCTTTATCTACTGCATGTAAACTTGCTCTTACTCATGCAGATGTAGTTTCTAAATGGATGCCAGAAATATCAACAGCACTTTTATCAAGTAATCATTTAGTACAGTGTCAAGCAATCAGACTTCTTCACATTCTTAAAAAACATGATCGTGTGGCATTAATTCGTTGTGTAGTTACTTATGGTAAAGAGAAACCATTACGTTCTCCTTATGCACATGTTGAATTATTAAAAATATGTAAAGATATTCTTATCGGAGAAAGAGCTTTTAGCAAAACAGTACTTCCTTTGGTTGAATATATTCAAACTTCAATGAGACCAAATAATGATTTAGTTGCATTAGAAGCTATTAAATTGGCATCCCAACTTGAATTAGATGCTGCCCCACAATCTCTTTCTGCACAATTAATGAATTCTATTCAAGTCTATCTTCAAAGCAATAAAACTATTCTTCGATTTGAGGCTATTAGAGTTGTAAGTGAAATGAGTTATAGATATAATGAATTAGTATCTACAGTTAGAATAGATGTAGAAAGTTTATTAAGAGAAAGTAATAGAGCTATTCTTACACTTGCTATTGCTACTTCATTAAACATTTGTAATGAATCTAGTATTGATGGGTTATTAAATAAAGTTACTAAATTTATGTCTGAATTACCTGATTCCTTTAGAACAAAAGTTGTTAATACTGTAGAGAAGTTAGCTGAACGTTATCCAAGTAAATATCTAACATTGTTATCTTTCTTAAGTCATTCACTAACAATTAAAGGAGTAAAATTCCAAACTGCTGTAGTTAATACTATTCGTCGTTTATGTATTATTCAACCACGATGTAGAGAAACATCATTGACTACCTTGGCTGATTATATTGAAGATTGTGAGTATCCAGAAATTATTATAAAAGTATTTGCTTTCATTGGAGAAGAAGGTCCTCACTCAAAAAAGCCAATGAAGTATATAAGATCTATTTATAATAGACTTTTACTTGAATCACCAACTATTAGAGCTGCTGGTATCACCACATTAAGTAAATTCGCAGAAATTCCAGAATTGAAACCTAATATTATTGAAATATTAAAGAAATGTGCTTATGATGAAGACCAGGAAG